GATTCCCCATTTTAAAGATTCCCGCTTTTAAAGATTCCCCATTTTAAAGATTCCCGCTTTTAAAGATTCCCCATTTTAAAGATTCCCCGATTCCCCGATTCCCCGATTCCCCGATTCCCCGTTCCCCGTTTTAAAGATAGCCAAACATAGGCAAACAAAGAAACCTATGGCGGCATGTGTTTATAATAAAGAACTTATTATTCTCTAGAGCGAAGCACAAGCACAACACCTACGCTTGAAAAACATTCGAACGACAGATATTCAAACTTCAAAGTATCGGCTTCTTTCTAAAGATTGTTCTTGTGCTGTTTCTGAAATAAGAAATAATGTTTATGAGCTGTTATTTTCCTCACATCTAATTATCAGAAATCAACATAATCACGGACAAAATACAACACCCTGCTCGGGTGTAGGTGTGTGTCAGTTCTCTCTATGTAAATGTGCGATTTTCCAGTTACGCACTGAATTCACGATGAATGTGGTCAGTAATTAAATGAGTTTGACATGTCGTGTCTTCCTCGGATAAGGTCTCAGAAATGAGTGGTTAACTCAAACAAGCCTTTCCTCATTAAGTGTTAATTAGCAAAGTGCACATTGAAAGTGTGCCAATGGGGTAGAGTTAGATTATGCACAATGATTCTTATTTTCCTTAACCACTTGTCAGCGTTTTTATAAAACAGCTCGTGCTAACTAGTATCAAAGCTTTAATTATCAAAATGTGTGTGTTGAAATTGCACATAGCACACATTGCCATCATGCCAGTGACGGTAGACAATGACACTGTTATTTCCCTGACCACTTATCCGGGTTCAGTTTATAACACTGGTCTTGCAGATCCTATAATGTTATATAATATACGATAAATAAATATTCACTTTAGAAAATGAATGCTGTAAATAAAAGGTTCTTATTGGCAAACGATAAAATGAAACAAAAGAATTTGGTAAGGTGTAAAGGTCAATAAAGGAGACGACTTATCTGGATTGAACCGGTCTGTTTAAAGATGAGAAGAGAGACATTCGATAAAATGCGTTCCAAACTCAATTATGTTCAATTTCAATAAATTGAAGTAAAATGCTCTTTGCTGTTTTGTTTGTTCGTTTCTTGTTTTGTCACAAAACCTTAATTTGTCATCGCCAATTAACAATGGTACATTGATACCTGCTATTACAAATATGCTATTTATGATACTTTTGTTAGGTTAGTACATGTATTCACTATCGTATAAAACTCTCACGTTAATTTGGGTTAGTATATTTTTATCCCTTTCAAGCTCCTGCCATACCACTTCACTCTCTCTTGATAGGCATCATCACGGCCTTTCCAGGTCTTTCCAGAACAGCACATGTTGTTGTAACTGTAAGTTCATTTAAGAGCTTAGATAAATTACTCCTTATGATGAAAGAATTAATTCACGAGCTTGGAAGTGACATTCTTGAAACGAATTCCCGCGCATTTATGCTTTTTGATTTTCTATGAGCTGCCTCAACATAATGCCTGTAAGATCTCTGATTACGGTGAAAGAAGTTTCGGGGCAGCAAAGTTCAATTCGAATCCCCATCCCCCTGACACTGCTCATGTTGCCCTTTCTGGGATATCGTGGAATAACCACTTGAACTTGCACAAATAAAGTCATATAATCCGACGTTGCAAAGCTGCATACCACAGGTATGACACTTTCAGTTCGCGAGTCTTTTGCACGACTTAGACTAAAGTGCTCGCCGCATGCCTGCAGAGTCTCTTTTAAACAGCGCGATTTATCTTGCGTAACATCCGCGCGCCAACAAGGAACAATTACTTACGGTTTTGTTGTACCTCACCACAAACAGTATAAAGAATATATTACTGGCACAAGACAATCAAGGACAGACCGTTCTATTGGGTTTATGATCAAGCACAACGTCTGAGATAGTTCAGAGACTCGCCTTGTCGCATCATTCGTAGCACTTAAGAAAACATGTCTTTCAAATTTGTGCCTCTCCCCAGTACCAAGCATGCTTTTTTCTTTATCACTGTTTACATTACACCATACGTGTTACGTACAGCCGCCGTATCGCGGAAACAGTCGTTTCGAAAAAGCCGATATTCAAAATGATGACCTGTCTTATCGCTCAGACAATCAACCAAGAACGCACCTTTATCTTCACTTTCGCGATCTGTTTTTTCAAGGCATACAGGAATCTGGCAAATGCCTTCGACAAACTCACAGTACGAGGTTCTTGTTGTCTCATACGTACTGCTGGCAACTATTTCCTCTATATAAAAACATGATGTTTAACTAGAAGAAACATTAGGTAAACTGCACTAAGATAAAACTACAATGTACATCAGACGACCCGTGTACAGGCAAATGCACAAACAACACACCTTCTCTAGATTAGGAGAACAATCATCTTCTGATGACTTTTGCAAACGGATGTCTTTGGCTGATTGCTTAGGCCAGGTGACAAGAAAAGCAATCAAACGAAAAAACGATAGTTACAGGGTGCCATGATGCCATTACCGCGGGTTTACACGTGAAAATACTACTCCCTCCATAGAGGACCGAGCACAAAATATCTTCCTCCATTGAGTACGTACCACAATACAACTGCTGTTTTTCTGAACAAACCCCATCTATGACTACTCTAAAAACAAAATAAAAATAAAAATAAATAAACACTTTCTGTCGAGTTGCCGTTGAGCTGCGTTTCACGTAAATTTTCTCTGTTCTAAGTCGGCATTTTGGTGTTTTTGACAGGAAATAGACGACAAAATATTGATGCGTCGCAAAAGAAAACCGGTTATTAAAAATATATAATTTGTCTTGCTGTTGCACTGATATTTCATGAAATGTGGTGTAGACTCCAACTCAAGATCAAAGCAAGTGTTTATTCTTCACTATTGAGCTTGAGAGGACAGCCTAGCCAGAGTCAACAGGAAGTTAATTCACTGTTTACACAAAACACTGTGCCAGTGTCTTCATTTCATTCGGTCAGCGGATTCCTAAAAGACGCGAATGCGCGAAGAGTCACTCACTCGAGTTTAGGGAAATTTATAAGCGAACAAACCATTAAACAGTGATTAAACGGAGCACAACTTGAGTAATAGTAATCACAAAAGCCACGTAAAATCATGTGAATGGCATGCAAAACGGGCAGTGCGTCAACATACTAGGAGAATGACTCGTGTATGGCGAAAGACCAGCTGGTAGTCATTTCTTCCAGAGATATCTATGTATATCTATGATTCGTTTTCATTGCATTTTGCCTGTTCTAAATGCGTGAGTATCCCACGTGCATTATAACCATGCCAATAAAATCCTCAAAACTCAAACTTACTGGGTCAGTAAACTACAAATGTCTACAGTCATAAAAAATCGAGTTTAAATGTTTTAATCTCCTGATTATTGCATTTTAACCGAAGTGTTACGATGTTATTGAGCGCATACGGCCCGAAGAATTACATCTCGTTGTCTTTTAGGACGTGGCTTTCGGCATTATTATTACATCAAGTGAGTCCCGATCATTTCCGTCGGTAATTGGCGCAACAGATTAATCATGCAATGTAATCGTCGTTTGCGGCGGGCAAATCCATTTCCATGATCTTAAAGTTGGCATTTCTTATATCTTGGCGTTGAACAGGATCTTATTTAATGCTTTGAGGCAATCTGGTATTCCATAGAATGCGAATAAGCTGACACATGATGTAATTTTAAAGACCAAGTTTTAAATGTTAATTAGAAATGCTAAATTCACTCTTGGGTCTCTTGTCGCCAAGACTAACATTTTGTATCCACTGTTTTAGTCCAAGCCCACTGCATACGTCATGTCGTAGCATTTTTAATATCTACTTCATTACGTTGAAGAAGAAAGGCTGGTTAGTAAATTGATGTCAATCAAAGTCTCATTTTGTTGGTTTCTGTGGCTTCAACACCTTAACCTAAGTTTCTTTCAAAAATCCTTTGAAAAGATTCGAGTGAAAAACACAAAGCAAATGAAGCGATGCTGATTTAAAACCAAGACATCTTAACCGATTTCACTATGCAGGACTGGATATTTACACAATTCATTGCTTAGTAGCGTACCAAACAAAACGCAAAATATGAAGTGATTCCTTCTATGCAAATGTAATGGAATATATTATGATTGTAGGATGGTAAATAGAAAGTTCATGATGATATTACTGCTTTTATTTGTATCTGAATTCAAACAGGCTTCCGAGGAGAATACAAAGAAAACCTTTTTCCTGTCTATGCACGTGGTGTACTAGTGAGCTTGCAGTGATCTATGGATTCTCTTTGTCGTGTTTGCTAAAATCGCCAACGGCCGAATTCACCACAAGGAATGACAACTTACCCAAATACTTTTTTTCATATCTGAAAACGCAGACTACAATTTTAAGAACCAAATTAAAGAAATATGATTAACTTACCACCAAAGAGGCAAAGCACTTTTCGAAAATACGCTCAAGTTAAATTGTATGGTTCTAGTTTGCGTCTTTAACCTTTCAGATGCAGCAGAAATAGAAACTTGCAGTTTTTGGCCTTCGGCAAAATTGCTCCGAAATTAAGTTAAAAATTGTGTTTATATGTGTTTAATTAGATTATACTTAATTATAGGGAGCGTGATTTAATTAAATCGTCTGAAAAACGCGAGATTAACACGAATTTTCGATAACTTCAAATCTGATCATCTGTGGGTCGTTAACTTACCATAGGTTTAGTAAGAAGGAAAATAATTATTCAGTTAACAGAAAAAATGGAATTCAGGGAGATATGAGTTAGAGATAACGGCCTCTTTTGATTGAATGCAGTACTGTTTTCTGTAAAATATTTGATCCGTGAAATATCATTTCCGTAGTTTCAACAACAGTTCATCGAAACGACTGTAATATTATAAATGACCTTGTCAGCGATTCGGATAAGTTTGGAATTAAGGCAACCAACTGGTGCTTTACATAATATGAGGCGTAAAGCCATACTTCACGGCTATAGAATTTAGAAATTAAAGTCTTCGCAACGAAGTTAAAATAAACCTATAATAGGTTTAACGTTTTTCCGTAGCAATTTAGCTTGAGGCATGAATTGCAATTTAAGAGTTGGAAACGCGACGCAAGCATTGTTTTGAAGAATGGCGATAGTATTTTCAAAGACACCGCAAAGCTCAGGCATGGTCAAAATTTTGTTTTGAAATACTTGCTATAAAAACAAACTAAGATTATTCTCGCAAATATTGAGCTATAATGATCATCTCAGAGCGGCAAAAAGGGCTGTTAAGGTACCAGAAGACTTCAATAACAGCAACAGGTATTTTGGGT